GCCAAATCTGTAGAGACAGGACAATCACCAGCAACTAGAGCCGCGTCTTTATTAAGAGGAGACTACAAGCGAATCCAGATTTCAGCGTTTGCAGATGAGAACAGCTCTCAGGTAAACAATAATCCTCCTTAGACACGTAAGTTATTGTTGTCGAGCGTCGCGTACACTGTTAATCCACACGTGACTCCAGCTGCGCTCTCACAGAGAGAAAATAAAAACAAAACTTCACTGCAGCAAACTATAAAAGCAACACTTCACGCTTGTTTTGCCAACACAACGTGGCGTCTCTGTGGCGTAAACACTGTGACAGTAATGAATATTAATGAAGTTGCACAATAGAGCGCGCTGATTGGTTTGAACTAAGCTTTACTCATGCATTAATGCAGCACACTGTAAGACGTAATGTCAGACGTTCATTCTGCATGCTGGAATACACGCTATTATGTCATGGCCGTGACGCAGCTTCAAAAATTCGTTTCAAACCGGAAGTACGAATTTGCTTGAAATAACGCAAAAACAACCAATTTACACTTTTTAGTGAGATATATGTGTCCTAATAGTGTTTTCAGCAGTGTGGGACACATATACCACTGTCAACAGCTCAACACATGTGTTCTGGTGTTTCGTGACCCTTTAATGACATTACAACATTGATGCTGTAAAAGGAACCGTATAAAATGAGAAAAAAGTTCACAATAACAGGTCACTGGAAGTGTATCAGCATGGGAACAGCACTAGCTCGGCATATACCCTATCAAGATTTTGATTTTAGGCCAAATTGCCCAGCCCTGGATAAAAAAATCATAGTTTTTACAATAAAAAAAAGTGATTACTGCTCTACATTTTCTCTCATTAAACAAAATATATTTTATTTTAGGAAACATTTAAAATAGTTTGGAGCAGTAAACAAGTCAGGATAACTAATTCAAATTAATTCTTGACTTCTGCGGTTCTTCATTAGATTAATAAACACAGATTTCTTTACAACTTGAGAAGGCGTCTTTGGAGATCTTTCATTGCAAGCCACTGCACTGTTCAGATCTACAGCATGCTGGATGTTGGTGTATAAGTCATTTGGTTGTCTGAAGTTTGCTGAATCGTAGATTTTAATGTGAAAGCTCCTGTTCTGCTGGAGATACTGCATCTTCAATGCACCGTGATGCACCGAGATATCGAATTGAACCGAATCGAAGGCATGATAACCGAACTGTGAGACCAGTATAGGTTCACACCTCTATTGATTACGGTTAACGAATGATTATTTTATTTATTTATAAATATTTTTGCCCTCATAGTTCACTGGTAAGTTTTGTACAATAAATAAGCAATTTTTCATTGGTACAAGCTGCTAATTTCTTTCAGTGTTTAGGTTTTCCATGCTCGACAAGAATTGACATGTCGGCAGTATAGCGTAACAGTCACGTGACTTCACACACGATAGGGAAAGTAATCGAAAAATTAGATAGATTATAGATAAATCATTGTCGATTTTGGTTACTTTTCGATTAATCATCCAGCCCTATTTTTATCCAGGGTTATCATTAGGGCTGAACAATAAGGATAAAACCATTATTAAATATTGTTATTTTTATATAATTTACACCAGTGTTTCTCAACCACGTTCCTGGAGGACCACCAGCTCTGCACGTTTTCCATGTCACTTTAACCAAACACACCTGATTCAGATCATCCGCTCGTTAGCAGAGAATGAAAGACCTGTGATGGGTACGACAGGCAAAGGAGACATCCAAAACATGCAGTGTTGGTGATCCTGCTGGAAGGTGGTTGAGAAACACGGATTTATATAATGATAGCCATGTTTTTTTATTATTGTTGAATTTCTGTACCTGAATGCTAGGGGTGTCACAATTTCGATTTTTAATTGAAATCGATCGAAATTTATGCTCAATTTCGATTATCGAATCTAAAAATAGAATCGTCGATGCTGCCACGCCCCCATGTCACGTCAGCTTGGCTTGCCAAGCGGGAAAATAACAGGCTTGTTGAAGTGCTTGTTAAACTGCAGAAGCAGGAGACCCGTCGACAGAACTTAAACCCTCTCCTCTTTCAATGAAGTCGCCGGTGTGTAAGCATTTTGGATTTCCAGTGAGTTATGATGACAACGTTCGTGTTGTAGACAAAAAAAAAACACAGTTTCGCAAGCTCTGCTATGTACGTATTACGTACGGTTCGTCTGATAGAAAACACCGGCATCGCGATCCTCCGCCCGCCCCCGTTGCAAATCCGCTCGCGAAAAGTTCACACTCAGACCCTGTTTACACTGTCTTTGTTTTTAAATGGCATTTTAGAACGACAACAATTTGACATCCACAGTGGCGTGTAGCATTTCTGAGCAGCCCTCCTTCCTCTCTACCTCTGAAAAAGCACATCACGGTAGGCTACAAATAATTAATTGGTCATTAATGAATTAATTATTCATAATCGAAAATCTAATTCAATCGTGTCTTTAGAATTGAAAATGTAATCGAATCGAGGATTTGGAGGATCGTGACACCCTTACTGAATGCTGTTGGGCCTACTCACACTATGCTATCCGAACCGTGCCCAGGCCCGTTTCCCGGATCGTTTGAGAAGTGTGAGTGCTCTGAATCGGGCTCAGGCACAGTTCACTTGCACAGTCCCCCCCCTCCAATTGATGCTTGATCTCCCCCCCAGAAGGAGGTCAAAACATGATGTATGGGCGAGTCAGTCCTTTATTACTGACAAATATTTTACTCTGTTCTGCATAATTAAATAAATAAATAACATAAATATACATTTGACCACCCCTTAACAGTTCAAACCATTGTTAATGCATTATCGCGCCAATCAGTCTATTTGAGAAACAAGGCTGAAATTGGCAGATCTAAAGCCCTGATAGACCCACAAGACTTTGTTTTCTTGTAAAATACATGTTTGTATCTAGATTTAGACACATTAGACACATAGTTTGTAGTTCAACCTACTGTAGCATCTGAAATAGAATCAGAGAATACGGGAGATCAGAATACACTAAATATCCCTCAAAACGCTGAAAACTTCAATACGTTTTATTAGGAAACCAGATGTAAGTTAACATTAATACATAATGACTGAAGCATGCATTGCACATACTTCACGAAACAGTCAACCCCTCCTGATCGTCAATGAACAAGTCGCACACTGCATAAAACGCTGTTTGTTTAACTTTTATCTTTGCTCTTGTGTATTTGTATATGCTTGTAGTTTATTAGAATGTATGCAAATGTACCTCATGATCATCCCAATTGATCTAAATTAAGGAAATGTTTGCCAATAGACCTATTCAATTCATCTGGTGAAATTATATTTCTGTCGCAATATACAGTGGGGGAAATAAGTGTTAAACACGTCAGTATTTTTCTCAGAAAACCTATTTCTAAAGGCACCTTTGACTTTTAAAATTTTCACCAGAGATTAGTAATAACCGAATAAATACTTGTATAAAAAGAAATTGCATCTAATTAGTTCACAAATGAAGTTGTGTAAAAAAAAAAAGAAATCACACAGGAAAAATGTATTGAACACATGAAGAAAAGATGGTGTAGTTTGGCAGTGAAAGCCCAGACAGCAGCTGAAATCTCTCAGTAGTTCTCCAGCGACTCTCTGCCCTTCCTCAGTGTAAATCAATATCAGCTGCGTCCGTCCAACATCTACATTAGCAGATGATGAAGATGAAACCAGGGTGGAGATTTCAGCAAGACAATGATCCAAAACACAGGCAAAGAGACTCTCAGATGCTTTCAGAGAAAGAAAAGCAAGCTGTAGAATGGCCCAGCTAATCATCTGATCCAAATCCAATAAGAAAAACTAGTTAAAGCTCAGATTTGATAGACGAGACCCACAGAACCATCAAGATTTTGACACTCTGTTGAAGTCCGTGAGAAACTCACACCTGAGCAATGCATGAGACTTCATTCTCCATATGAGAGGCGTCTTTAAGCTGCCATCACGGCAAAAAGCAAAGGGTTGCTGAAGAACTACTGAGAGATTTCAGCTGCTGTTCAGGTCTCTACACTGGCTGCCAGTTACATTCAGAATAGATTTTAAAGTATTATTACTGGTCTATAAATCACTAAATGGATTAGGAGCGCAATACATTACAGATATGCTCACTGAATAACAACCTAACAGATCACTCAGATCATTAGGATCATATAAACTAGAAATTCCAAGAGTTCAGTCAAAGCAGGGTGAATCAGCTTTCAGCCACTATGCCCCTCGCTGCTGGAATCAGCTTCCAGAAATGATCAGATGTGCTGCAACATTAGGCACATTCACATCAAGACTGAACACACATCTGTTTAGCTGTGCCTTTACTGAATGAGCACTGTGCTGCGTCCGACAGATTGCACTATCATGTTTTTCGTTTTCTTTTTCATTCTTTTATAACCTATTTTAACACTTTAAATGGTTTTTATCTGTTTTTAATTATGTTTATTGTCTGCATTTTATGTCCTAAACTTGTCTTTTTTATTCCTGTTTATGTAAAGCACTTTGAATTGCCACTGTGTATGAAATGTGCTATATAAATAAACTTGCCTTGCCTTGCTGTCTGGGCTTTCCATGTCTTTCTACACCTTTCTTTCTTCATGTGTTCAATACCCTTTTCCCTGCGTCATTTAATTTAACTACACAGAACTTCATTTGCAAACTAATTAGATTTCACTTTGCATAAATGATTTTCCTTTGGTCGTCAACATCTGGTGAAGATTTCAAGCCAACAGCACCTTTAGAAATATGTTTTTAAAACGTGTTGAATACTTCCCCCACTGTATATTTCGGTAAAACAAATACCAGCTTGTCATTTTTTTTCCCCAATATCATGCAGCCCTTGATATCATATTGTCGTAATCTTATGTCAGCCCCTGCCTACTAACATAACAAAAGGGTAGTCAATTTGCCCAGAGAGTATTGTTGAGTGTCTGACCAGTACACAAGGCTTAAATGCTCAAACTCCTTTGTTGTTGTGTCTCAAACAGATTCGGGACAATCTGAGGCTGTTCGACACGCGTGCCTCCTGCACTACTGGTCCTCCACCCAGCAGCAGGTGTGGCTCGTTCCTACGACGTCACAAATGCGACCATGGGAAGTAGCAGTGAGTAGGCGGCCAACAACAGCCCCCTTAAACCAGAGGAGGCTCGTCGGGGAGCCCTGCATCACCCCTCTGCACCTCAGGAGAAGGTGAGACAGATGTCTGCGCAAAACAACACCAAAGCAGCGCAGAAGAGGACATATGAGGAATGTTTGTGTCTTTTTGTGCATGCATAAAGTCTTAAAGTAGATCTATTATGCAAAAATCACTGTTTCAATACAGTTGTGTGGCAGCGGTGTGGGAATATTGCCAGCGTCTAATGGTAAACGAGTATTGTTTATAATCAGACTTGATAAAGACTAGCGTTCTCCCTTTGTACATGTCATCAGAGGGGGAAAGCCCCGCCCACTAGTGAATATCTCTCCGTCATTAGCATAAACAGCAGCCTTGAGTGAGAAGCAGCCGTCTGTCCATTAGCCATTAGAGTGTTTGAGCTGCTGAAGATAATGTCAGCATAGACTAAGAGGATTATAGATGTGGAGTTTTGATGAAGCACAAATGAACAGCGACATAGACTGATGCATTCTGACAATCGTAGGCTCATAGGTGTTTGTAACTCCGCCCTTTTTTTTTTTAAAGAGCACAATCTCATTTGAATTTAAAGCAACATTTTTGGAGTCAATTAATGACCATAAATACTCGCAACATAAAATAAAAGTTTTGCCAACAAAAAATTAAGTATTGAGCAAAGATTTTAAAATAATGCTAATTTTTAAAAAAATCGCAAAGTTGAGTTTTGAGAAATGAAAAGGAATTTTGCAAGCAAAAATAAAGAACTGCAAATAAAAATAAAGTAAATATAAGTAAATAATAAAAAAAAATTAACTTAAATAATAAGTAAATATTTGCTAAATATTTTTTTTCCAGTATTGCCTTTACAAAACCTCTGAAGTCAATTGCAGCGCTCATTTTAATTTAGCATTTCAGTCAACCGTGGGTTTTAAAGTACTGTTTTCTTTTTTTTTACACACCACATTTCTGTGCGTTTCACTTTCTGGCCTTAATTTGACATGGGGGCGGAGTCACAGGAACTGGGGCGCATAAGGCATGCCTGGACCTGCTTCCTATGAAGTGATGTCATCAGCTAGAGACATCCTGACACATAGGAAATCAGCCATGAATCGCTGTCATAAGTCTAATCAAGATTAAAATACCGGAACCCTTTGTTTTTCAGGGGGCTGTTTAAATCGTCAAACATTCATTCATTCAATTTTTTTCGGCTTTGTCCCTTTATTGTTCTGGGGTCACCACAGTGGAATGAACCACCAACTTATCCAGCATATGTTTTACACAACGGATGTCTTTCCAGCTGCAACCCAGTACTGGGAAACTAAATCGTCAAACAGTAAAACGTAAAAAAAAAAAAAAAAAATGCAAATTTGTATTTTTTCCCACTACTCAATTTTTATTTGCAGTTCTTTATTTTTGTTTGCTAAATTTCTTTTTTATTTCTCAAAACTCAATTTTCATTAATTTCTCACTCTTCATTTCTTTCAAACCTATGACTTTCTGTCTGCTGCTGAAAATTAAAAGAAGATATTTTGAAAAATGTTGGAAACGTGTAACCATTGATTTCCACAGTATTTGTTTTACCTAACATAGAAGTCAATGGTTACTAGGCTTGGGCGGTATCCAAATTTTGATATTTCTTATTTTACCTCGTTATCCGGTATTACCGTTCATTATAAAAAAACATATGACGTAAGGCTCAGACAGCATCAGCAAACTGTTAGCTAGTGCCTAAACCATTCAGAAAGTAAATACCGTAAATGCGACCTTAGATTCACGGTCACCTGTTTGTTGAACAATTAGCAAATTGTCTTGTTTGTATTAGAGATCTGCGCGCTGTCTGTAAAAACACACATACACAGCACCACACTCTCTCTCATTCACACACACATAGACAGCACCGAACAAACGACACACAGCATCATGCTCTTTCTCATATACACACACGCACAAACAGCATCCACGCGAGCTCGCTTGGGAGCGATATTGTTAGACCACTCCCGCGCTTTATTCAGAAATTTACTTCCACATCGTAAGAAATCTGGACGGCTCCCGCGGTACTGCAGCAGGAATGCAGACCTCTAGTTCGTGTTTACATTGTCTCCCTTCTTGTTGGATCGAAACCCGAAATACTACCAAATTGCAGAGGTCGACTTCTTCAAGACCAGTTCACTTGGTGCATGACTCGCCATCTTACCCCACCTCTCTCTCTCTCTCTCTCTCTCCTCCACACTGTCCTGTGATGACAATCACGCAAATGAATTTGAAGGCATTAAAATAAATAATATTTCTTATCTAATACTTGTCTCCTATATAAGTGCAGTGTTTTTTATGACGACATAACGGAATTGAAACTGACACTGCTATTTTTAGATCCCGCAATATACCATATTACCGCATTACCACCCAAGCCTAATGGTTACTGGTTTTCAGCTTTCTTCACAATACTTTATGTTTTTTGTTAAACAGAATAAAGAAACTCCATTAACATTTGTAATCATCTTATAGTTTTAATATTTGGGTGAACTATCCCTTTACAGCATAATGTTATGATTATTTATTAATGTAAGATGTTAGTCTCTGTTTTGGATCTCGCTTTACAAAAAGGTTTCTTTAGAGCAGTGGTCACCAAACTTGTTCCTGGAGGGCCGGTGTCCTGCAGATTTTAGCTCCAACCCTAATCAAACACACCTGAACAAGCTAATCAAGGTCTTACTAGGTATACTTAAAACATCCAGGCAGGTGTGTTGAGGCAAGTTGGAGCCAAACCCTGCAGGGACACCGGCCCTCCAGGACCGAGATTGGTGACCCCTGCTTTAGATAATGTAGTTAATAGTAGGATTGGGTTGATAGACGATGCCATCATTCATCACCGATGGCCTATAGACATAGCAATGCTGAGCTGGCATCCGGATTCTCCACTGCACTCCCGTCGCTGCAGCAACTCACTTGCAAAGAATACACACTTAGGTCCCGTTTACACTAATACATCCTAGTTTTAAAATGGCATTTTAGAACGAAAATGATCCACACAAATTGAACAATGTATGTACAGGAATATTACTATAGACATGATTATTGTATGTACAGATTTATCATGTGCTAATTAAAATGTACACAAAGTATTTTTTATTAAACAAATGTGTGTAAATAGTGTTGTTTGTTCCACAATTATTATTATCAAATGTTTATCTAATGAAAAGATGAAAGTTTTCAGTCATTCTAACCACAAAAGCTTGCGACTCAGAGCTAATGCAAGATAAGCTTCTGTGATTTACAGATATCAATAATTTATAGATATTTAAATATTAGAAACATAATAAAAGTATATCGATGTTTCATATTTAATTGGTTGAAAAAATAAATTGTTTAAATTATTTAAAAGGTTTTTCCAAGAGTAATTAGAATTTTCTCATGATCACAATTGAATGTATTTTATTATTATCACAAATGTGTGTATTAGCTCCTTTTTATATTCGTATACGTGTATTTTGATATACACTGACTTTTATTAAAATCATTCATTCATTTTCTTGTTGGCTTAGTCCCTTTATTAATCCGGGGCGTCACAGCGGAATGAACCGCCAACTTATCCAGCAAGTTTTTACGCAGCGGATGCCCTTCCAGCCACAACCCATCTCTGGGAAATGTTATTAAATCAAAATCGGTCAATTATTTGTAAAATTAAATTGAGAAAAGATATTGTTTGCATGATGAATGTGAAATGTATAATACAGTATATTGCCGACATGGCGTTTAAACATTTAAGCATTCTTACGATTGAATAACTAAATAATGACCTTTTTAAAATAATTTGGTCAAATCAAAAATATTTAGACAGCTTCAACATTTCTCACACTATCACAGTTTATTTGCTAGTTTTTAAAATCAGGAACTCGTATTTACACAACTATCAACACTTGGTCCTCAGTCAGCCTGTAATTAGAAATTGTGTTGATGCATAAATGCATTGACAATGTGCTGATAATCGGGTTGATAGTCCGTTGATATTGCTCTATTAATGCTTCGTGTTGATTTAGTTGGTGTTGTGTGAATATTTAGTTGATGTTGTGTATTGTATTCCATTGGAAATGTGCTGATAAGGAGATTATAATGTGTTTATTGCCCTGTTAAAGCTTTTAATATTGTGTTGATTGTGTTGATATTGAGTACACTTTAGTTAATAATGCGTTAACGTGTGTTGCAGTGATTACGTTGATATTGCATTAATAATGTTGATGTGTTGATATTATGTATTATCTTGACGTGTATTGATAATGTTGATATTGCATTGATAATATGTATTGTTGATTTTGCGTTGATATCTAGCATTGATTTTGCATTTATATAGCATTCATGTTGCACCAGTATTGCATTGATGTTGCATTCATATAGCATGGATTTCTGCATTCATATAGCATTGATATTGCTAAGATAATGCATTGATATTACATTCAGATAGCAATGATACTGCATTCATATAGCACTGATATTGCTTAGATAATGCATTGATATTGCATTCATATAGCATTGATACTGCATTCATATAGCATTGATTTTGCATTCATATAGCACTGATATTGCATTGATATTACATTCATATTGCATTGATATTGCTTAGATATTGCATAGATAATGCTTAGATACTGCATTGATATTACATTCATTTAGCATTATTACTGCATTCATATAGCATTGTTATTGCTTAGATATTGCATTGATATTACATTCATATAACATTGATATTACATTCATATAGCATTGATATTGCATTCATGTTGCACCAATATTGCATTGATATTACATTCATATAACATTGATATTGCATTAATATAGCATTGATATTGCATTGATATTACATTCATATAACATTGGTATTGCATTCATATAGCATTGATATTGCTTAGATATTGCATTGATATTGCATTAATATAACATTGATATTGCATTCATATAACATTGATATTGCATTCATATAACATTGATATTGCATTAATATAACATTGATATTGCTTGGATAATGCATTGATATGACATTCATCTAGCATTGATATTGCATTCATGTTGCACCAATATTGCATTCATATAAGATTGATATTGCATTCATATAGCATTGATATTGCTTAGATATTGCATTGATATTGCATTCATATAACATTGATATTGCATTCATATAGCATTGATATTGCATTCATATAGCATTGATATTGCATTCATATAGCATTTATATTGCATTCATATAACATTTATATTGCATTCATATAGCATTGATATTGCATTCATATAACATTTATATTGCATTCATATAACATTGATATTGCATTCATATAACATTGATATTGCATTCATATAGCATTGATATTGCATTCATATAACATTGATATTGCATTAATATAACATTGATATTGCATTCATATAACATTGATATTGCATTCATATAGCATTGATATTGCATTCATATAACATTGATATTGCATTCATATAACATTGATATTGCATTAATATAACATTGATATTGCATTCATATAACATTGATATTGCTTGGATAATGCATTGATATGACATTCATATAGCATTGATATTGCATTCATGTTGCACCAATATTGCATTCATATAAGATTGATATTGCATTCATATAGCATTGATATTGCTTAGATATAGCATTGATATTGCATTCATATAACATTGATATTGCATTCATATAGCATTGATATTGCATTCATATAACATTGATATTGCATTAATATAACATTGATATTGCATTCATATAACATTGATATTGCATTAATATAACATTGATATTGCATTCATATAACATTGATATTGCATTAATATAACATTGATATTGCTTGGATAATGCGTTGATATGACATTCATATAACATTGATATTGCATTCATGTTGCACCAATATTGCATTCATATAAGATTGATATTGCATTCATATAGCATTGATATTGCTTAGATATTGCATTGATATTGCATTCATATAACATTGATATTGCATTCATATAGCATTGATATTGCATTCATATAACATTGATATTGCATTCATATAACATTGATATTGCATTCATATAGCATTGATATTGCATTCATATAACATTGATATTGCATTCATATAACATTGATATTGCATTCATATAGCATTGATATTGCATTCATATAACATTGATATTGCATTCATATAACATTGATATTGCATTCATATAGCATTGATATTGCATTCATATAACATTGATATTGCTTGGATAATGCGTGATATTGCATTCATATAGCATTGATATTACATTCATGTTGCACCAATATTGCATTTGTATTGCATTGATATAGCATTCATATTGCATCGATATTGCATTCATATAGCATTGATTTCCCATTCATGTTGCACCAATATTGCATTCATATAGCATTGATATTGCTTGGATAATGCATTGATATTGCATTGACATTGCATTCATATAGCATTGATATTGCATTGACTGCTTAGATAATGCATTGTTATTGCATTTATGTTGCTTTCATATTGAATTAATATTCCTTATATATTTTGCATTCTTATAGAATTATAGAACAGTTTGGATATTGCTTAGATATTGCATTGATATTGTTTGTATATTGCATTGATATTGCATTCAAATTGCTTAAACATTGCATTGATATAGCATTGATATTGCTTGGATATTGCATCTATATTGTTTAGACATCACATTGCTATAGCATTGATATTGAGTTGTGTTAAAAGCATTGATATAGCATTGATTATTGCTCTGTGTCGCTGATGTGTGCCAGTCCTCCAGTGCGCCATCAGTGGGGCCAGCGAGATCGCCCTGCGCTTCACACTTCCCTTCACCAGGATGAGAACTTCCACCACGCCGTCTTCTCCCAGCATCAGCAGGTTCCTTTAGATGAGTCCAGGCAGTACAGCCACAGCGGTGCCGCTCCACGCATGCTGCACACTGCCAACCAGCCTCCTCAACAGAGCTCCATCATGGTGGATCTACACGAGCAGGTACCACCGCAAACACTGACACTCAGGTGCTGCTGTCTGTCACTGAACAACACCGGACATTACTTTTAGCAATTGAAGGTAATAGCTCATGTGTTGGTTTCAGATTTGAAAAAGTCACCGGACCAGCATAATAATAATGCATTTTATTAATGGCGCCTTTCTCGACGCTCAAGGTCATGCATGATGACGAGGACTGTCTGTTCAGATAGCTGGCAGCTAGCTCTCTGCAACTCTCACATGGTCGCCCACTAAAGCTAAGCAGGGCTGTGCTTGGTCAGTACCTGGATGGGAGACCATATGGGAAAGCTAGGTTGCTGCTGGAAGTGGTTTTAGTGAGACCAGCAGGGGGCGCTTAACCTGCGGTCTATATGGGTCCTAACGCCCCAGTATAATGATGGAGACTCTATACTGCTCAGTTTTTCCTGACTCTCTGTGGTCGTTAAAAGTCCCAGGATGTCCTTCGAAAAAGTAGGGGTTTAAGCCTGGCATCCTGGCCAAATTAACCCACTGGGCTCTGTCCATCATGGCCTCCTAACCATCCCCATATCATAACTGGCTTGATCACTCTGTCTCCTCTCCACCAATCAGCTGGTGTGTGGTGTGCGGTCTGCTGCAACTTGGCTGATGTCACGTCATCCAGGTGGATGGTGCACACTGGTGGTGGATGAGGGGATTCCCCCCCATGTGTAAAGCACTTTGAGTGCCCAGAAAAGCGCTATATAAATGTAAGGAATTATTATTTATTATTGTTATTATTATAAAAACAAGCACAAAATCAAAAGACAATAAGATGCAATACAATTTTAAAGCTCATGTCTATCTAGCTCATGACTAATGCAGTTATTAATCAACTAATTAATTTTGTTCAAGTCGCGACACGTTTTAAATGATTATTTGCTTTCCTAATTTCTTATGATAAATTTTTGTGGCTGTCTTAGACTACAATAGTGTGTTTTGTGGCATTTAATAAGTATACCAATAAATATGTTAATATAAATAAACAAAAAAGGAAAATCAAACATCATAAAACATAAGCTTAAAAAGTAACACTTTTCTTTGTTTATTCAAGTGTAAAAGTCTTAAAATATTAAAAGTCATTTTAATCTTTATTTATTTGTTTTTGTTGTTAGACTATTGACCTTATTCTGCGTTGCGGAAGTGCACTCATTTTTGCAATTGCTTTAGAACAGGGGTGGCCAACCCTGTTCCTGGAGATCTACCTTCCTGCAGATTTCAGTTGCAATCCTTATCAAACACACCTGCCTGTAATTATCAAGTGGATTTCAGGTCCTAATTAATTGGTTAAGGTGGTTTTGATCAGGGTAGGAGCTGAACTGTACAGGAAGGTAGATCTCCAGGAACAGGATTGAGCACCCCTGCTTTAAAACTTCCGATTCAGACTAGAAATAAACTTCTGATAATGGTCAAACTATGTGCTCTACAAACAAGTGTGTTCGTGACTATACATAATAATAAGCAATATATAATAAGAAAATATCAGAGTGCAACATAACGAGCTGATTTTAACATCTAAACATCAATAGAAGTGAATGAGAGCGGAAGTCTCAAACTAAAAAGATTCCAATGGCTGCGCCCGCTCGTACATGAAGAATAAGGTCAATATAATAATTGGGATTTCATTTTTAGAGATCATGACATCTATTTGAGTATAAAAATAAATATATTTGTCAGTGCAATAGCCTAGTGGTTAGCGTGTCGACATATGTGCAGTAGCACGTCAGGGCGTCCCATGTTTGAATTCCAGCTCGAGGACATTTCCCTACCCCCCTCTCTCTCTCTCCAACTTCGCTTCCTGTCAAAATACTGTCCTATGTAATAAAGGCAAAAAGGCCAAAAATAAATCTTAAAAAAATAAGTAATAATAAATGAATCAATAAATATATTAAAGCAAATGATGTGATTTAAAAAAAATCTATTTAAGTATTTTACATGTTTTTCTATGTAAGTATATACGCATATAAATGTGTATAAGTATTAAAAAAATATATGCAATGTAAAAAAAAAAATAACAATTGTGAGGCGACTACTTCATAATAATGCAAGCTATGGGATGTTGAACAATAAATAAAGTCTCAGAGCAGGAATAATGTAAAGATAATCTTGAAAATTGAAACATATTTTAGTGAGTAAAGGATATGTGTAAAATCACCTCATAAGAATCACAGAATAGTCTTTTGGTCACACTTTAATGTACAATTCATGCTATTAGCTAACCATTAACTAAGACTTTTAGCTCCATAATCTACCAGTTAGCTGCTTAATAGTTATTAAGGCAGTAGTTGGGTTTAGGTATTATGTAGCATTAATGAAATCTAAAATAAGATCATACTTTATAAGTTCCAATAAATGGGTTCTGTCTTAAAAATAGGCATGAAATAATCCAGTAGTAAATGATGTACTTTTACTTCCCTTGAGTACATTTTTAGGGCGTACTCGTACTAAGTACAGTTGCCTTGAACTAGGCCAAAGCACGCTCATCCCGTCTCCCCCAACGGCCCGCACTCATATTACATTCGGGCCTGAGCACGCTTGCGTCATTAATGATGCGCTGTTCAGTAAGCGATCTCGCTCAGCACAGTGGAGATTTCTTTAGTTAAATCGTTTGATATGCGGTGACACCCAGTCTTATATTTCGCCGAACAGATCTGCCACTTTTGGCGCTCACAAACAATCATTAAGTCCTCGTGCTGCAGGAATGAGGAGGTTTGCTGAAGGTGCAGCTGTCGTGCAGTGAGGGGTTTGCGCATTTAATAAACTACAGCAGTTTGCGTTCACTGAACAGTAAGAATGATTAATAAATCCATATGAAACAGTCCCTTAAAAGTCACGTCTCGCTTTCAGTTTGGTGCGTTATAATTATATATAATTCAAAGCCCAAGTGAACTGCGCTCAGGCCCACCTCTTCCAACCCGGGCCCGGGCCGGCCAAGTGAACCATGCCTGAGCCCGATTCAGAGCACTCACACTTCTCAAACGATCTGGGAAACAGGCCTGGGCACGGTTCGGACGGCATAGTATGAGTACGCCCTTAGTGCAGTATTGATACTTTTACTTCACTATTTTCCTTCAACCTGCAGTCACTACTTGATTTTTTTCATGTCTATGGGGATTGGCTGAGTAGATCACAGTGATTAAATTAAATTAAAGCACTAAATTAAATCATTAAAGTAAATCACATGATGCTCAGGGCTCGAAATTGCGACCAACGGATAAAGAGTGAAAGATACACCGAATCTCGATGGGTTGCATTCACTGCGTGTTCAGCGCAAATGTCCGCAAAATGTAAAATCTAACACTGTACACATCATCGCCAAAGAAGCTCGCCTTTACTCAGTTTAAACTGATGCAGATTATTACAAAAAACAGTATTGCGCCAGTGGTCATCGGGAGAATCCTGCTCTGCCCCCCTCATATATTGGGTCGGCTGACTCGCCTGCTTTCCACGAACACAGAAAAATTAAGATCAGCTCATAACGAGACTGAGCATTAAAATGACACAAACCCAAACCAAAACTGGTAGAAGTGAGACTTTTCTTCCTTTCTTTTGTTCGTTCTTTCTTGACATGAATGTTATTTTTCTATTTAATTACTGATGACTGCTTTGCAGCTTTCAGCCTTAAATTGAATGGTTTATTATAATCTTTCATTTGTTTTGTAGCAGAAATTGTATTTATTAAATTGACATGCTTATAAAAACAATAGTGCAAAATAAATATTTCTTTCTGCAATGCTTCATTTGTGTTTGATGCAAAACATACATTTAAGGCCCGTGCACACCGAGACCTTTTTTGCTCGCGTTTTGCGTCGACATTTAACGCCTTGTAACTAAATAAAGGGCGTCAATGTGATTGTGCACACCAACGCGCAAAACGCCAGGCGCAAAAGCGTCATTTAAAAGAAACGCCTCATGCTCATTTTTTTGTTTTGACGCACCGCATCAAAACCTTCTTCACCAATCAGATCGGCACTTTTGTTCACGTGCACGAATCTGCTGAAGTTACAGTAAGCAGCACTTGGAGGCGCCCAAGCGCAAAACTGTCAATGCGAGTGCACATTGAAGAAGATTCCCAGAGGAGATATGAACGTGGAGCTCTGTGAACAATAATCATTTCTTCATCGCTAGAGCTGGACCTGCTGCTTGAACCATCCATGCTTGTTCGAGTCACCAGTACCTTTATAAACAAACGTGTGAACTTCCTCTTCTCCTCTTCTTCTGTGTTATAAGAGGATGTCAGAAGCTTATAGTTATGCAGCGCCATCTAATGTTAAAAGAGTGATTTTGCATACTCTTCAGCTTTACGCCAGTGAAAAGCGCTTGGGTTTGAATACGGAAAAACGTCTCAAAAAACGCTGACGATAAACGCAAACTAAAAACGTCCCAGTGTGTAGGAGCCTTTATTCTTCATAAAGTAACAGTAGGACGTTTTATAGCAGATAACTCGCACTCAAACACATTCAGGGCAGCGTGATCATGAGAAATGTAATTCCTTGTTAGTATTATTGTCATCATCGTCATCATTAATATTTTATATTTATTAGACTTTGTTACGACCCCCTGGTTTGAGTCGCAACATAAAAGAGTTCGGACAACAAAAGAATGTATATGCAACTTATTTATTATGCATAAAACTAAATAGAACAACAAATCAACAAACAAACAAATGTCTAGGGGAAAATAAAGAAAATAACTACTTTAACTACACAAATAAATAATGCTAAACAAAACCATAGGGTTGCAGAAAGGAAGGGATGATCTTGATACGAGGACGGCCCGTAGCCACACCGTCCTCCTGAAGCTAGCACAAAAACACTTTTATATGGTTTGAGCCAATTAGTGACAACCAGGCACCCAATCAGGATCTGCCACATCCATACTGAAGTCCTGGGGTCGTCACAACTTTCATTTTGGAATTATGGCACAAATATGAAGGCATCACAGCATTAGTTAGATGTTTCTGGTTTTTGTTAGTCCTAATTGTTGTTGTTTTCAAAGACAATAAATCCTTTAATAAACAGTTTGCAGTGGTGCTCATTCACTTTTTGGTGGGTGCTCCTAAATTTTTAAAGTTGGGAGCACTGGTGCTACCAACTAAAAAAGTTCATTTCCAGCCCTGATACTGAAGACTTTTTTAAAATGCAGCATACCATCTGCAAGCATTAAAAGTGTTAAAGAAGATGTCTAAAATCCTTACATGCAATGATGAGAGACTGTTTAGATACATTTTACTAATGAGAAGATGATGGATGTTTACTGTATGATTGCTGAAATCACATTAAACAATCACTAAATACACTACAGAATGTCACGTTTGCACACACACACACACACACACACACACACACACACACACACACACATACACAAATTGTATGTAAACACTTCAACCTTCCACAGTGTAATACTCACTACTCTTGAGTACTTTCAGAAGGGCTACTTTAACTTAAACTTTTACCCTACTTGCACTACATTTTTGGACAAGTAATGGTGCTTGATTCTGATTTGTCTGAACTCTTTCCACCACTGTGAGTAACCTGAATGTTTTTCTCTTGTGTCGTCCTTCAAGATGCATCAAGGATCAGTTCCGATCTCTTACACTGTTACCACGGTGACGACCCACGGGTTTCCTATCCACACCGGGCAACCAATCCCAGCCTGCAATGCTCAGCAGCTCCCAGCATGCTCGGTAATGTTCAGCGGACAGCTCTCTCTGCTCTGCTGCCTTCCTCCTCCAGTGAGTTTGAAAAGGAAGAGCTGGATGTCAGTCAAGTTTGTGTAGAGCGCGCTAAACATGTCCCATCGCTCCAGCTTTACTGTAGCTAATGTAGATGTACTGTGTGTGTGTGTGTCCTTGCGGCTGGAGAGATCCTGAGATTATCGTGTTGTTCTGTACATCTCGCTCATGCTTTACACATGCAGCATTTTCAGTGGAATCGATGCATTGCAAATACAGGAGTTGCTCTGCATCAATTTTCCGAATGCAGTGCAATTGTAAATGAAGAGCTTCGTTTTTAACAGCAGATGGCGCTGTATGCTTTACAGACAGTGCCACAGAATAAAGCCCAACAGGTTTATCAGCTATTGTACGAAAGTTCAACAAACGGCTGGGTGTACATTATACCACTTATTACTTATCTACTTGCCATAATAATGAAAAAAATTACAGCGCAGTCTGCTGTTAAAATCTATCCTGGGGCGCCATTTGACATTAAAAAGTAGCTTATTGTGCCATCTGCTGTTTAAAAACTCAACTAGAACACCATCTGATGGTAACAACTAGCCTAGAGCAGCATCTGCTGTTTAAATGCTTGCCTACACCACAATCTGCTGTTTAAATCAAGCCTAAAGCTCCATCTGATGGTTAAAAACTAGCCTAGAGTGCCATCTGATGGGAACAGTTAGCCTTGAGCACCATCTTCTGTTTAAAAACTAGGCTAGAGTAACATCTGATGGTAAAAACTAGCCTAGACTGCCACCTGCTGTTTAAAAACTAGCCTAGAGCGCTGACTGCTGTTTAAAAACTAGCCTAAAGCTCCATCGGATGGTTAAAAACTAGCCTAGAGTGCCATCTGCTGTTTAAAAATTTGCTTAGAGTGCCACTTGATGATAACAACTAGCCTAGAGTTCCATTTGCCATTTAAAAGCTAGCCTAGAGCACCATCTCATAGTAACAAATAAGTTAGGATGACGTCTGCTGTTTAAAAACTAGCCTTAAGCACCATCTGCTGTTTAAAATGTAGCCTACAACATCATCTGATGATAACAACTAGCCTAGAGTGCCATCTGCGGTTTAAAAACATGCCTAGAGCGCCATCTGTTGTTTAAAAACTAGCCTACAGCATCATCTGATGATAACAACTAGTCTAGAGTGCCATCTGCGGTTTAAAAACATGCCTAGAGCGCCATCTGTTGTTTAAAAACTAGCCTACAACATCATCTGATGATAACAACTAGCCTAGAGTGCCATCTGCGGTTTAAAAACATGCCTAGAGCGCCATCTGTTGTTTAAAAACTAGCCTACAGCATCATCTGATGATAACAACTAGCCTAGAGCGACATCTGATGGTAAAAACTAGCCTAGAGCACCATCTTCTATTTAAAAACTAGCCTAGAGCGCCATCTGCTGTTTAAAAACTAGCTTAGAGCACCATCTGCTATTTAAAAACTAGCCTAGAGCGACATCTGATGGTAAAAACTTGCCTAGAGCACCATCTTCTATTCAAAAACTAGCCTAGAGCGACATCCAATGGTAAAAACTAGCCTAGAGCACCATCTTCTATTTAAAAACTAGCCTAGAGCGCCATCTGCTGTTTAAAAACTAGCTTAGAGCGCCATGTGCTATTTAAAAACTAGCCTAGAGCAACATCTGATGGTAAAAACTAGCCTAGAGCACCATCTTCTATTCAAAAACTAGCCTAGAGCGACATCTAATGGTAAAAACTAGCCTAGAGCACCATCTTCTATTTAAAAACTATCCTAGAGCGCCATCTGCTGTTTAAAAACTAGGTTAGAGTTCCATCTGCTGTTGAAAAACTAGCCTAGAGCAACATCTGATGGTAAAAACTAGCCTAGAGCAGCATCTTCTATTTAAAAACTAGCCTAGAGCGCCATCTGCTGTTTAAAAACTAGCTTAGAGCACTATCTGCTGTTTAAAAACTTGCTTAGAGCGCCATCTGCTGTTGAAAAACTAGCCTAGAGCGACATCTGATGGTAAAAACTAGCCTAGAGCACCAGCTTCTATTTAAAAACTAGTCTAGAGCGCCATCTGCTTTTGAAAACCCTAATAAACAGCTGCATTCACTATGTGAGTTTCATGTAGCGTCTCTGGAATGATTAATGATCTGTAATGATGCAACTTCAGAGGGACAGCGAGCAACAGCCTTCATGTTTGTTTGCATCGTCACTGCAGATGCTTCTGATAGTTCTCATGGATAGTGAAGGTGTGCTTTCTGCTAGTTTAATCATCTGCTCCAGTCATCGCTTCATCTGTGTCCACATTCCAACATCTGTATTTTTTGGTGGCAATAATGATGTACAGATGAGTGTGTGGTGTATTGTGCAGGAGACATACAATGTCTCATTGTCCTCATTGCATTAAGTGCACTAAAAAAAGAAAAATACATCTAAATCTAAAAAGTAAATGCATCTACGAAACACTACAATTAATGTATGTGATAGATTATTTCTAACATATAAATGAATGTTTTTTTTTGCATTGTATAAATTGTGTATACATGCATCACGTTTTCCCAGTACTATGCAGGATTGCTTATCATTAAGCCTGATGCTTTTGAAATAATATATTGGATTGCTACACAGTGCAAAAGTGAGATCTTTTCCAGAGCATTTGACCATGTCTCTTTCTCAGCGTTATTAGAAATATACAAACACGCTTTCAAGTCACAGTCCATTTCAGTGTTCTCTCTCTCTCTGTGTGTGTGTGTGTGTGTGTGTGCAGCTCATTCAGGCCTGCACCATGCAGCATCTGCCGGTGTCCTATCAGGCGTTCCCTCCGCTGATCTCCAGTGAGCATTTCATCCTGCACCCCAGTCCTGCAGTGGCGCCCCACCAGCCTCCACCTCACCCTCCTCATCCTCCTCCTCCTCATCTGCCGCCGATCAACCAGTTCGTCCCCATTCAGCCGCAGCACCCGCGCATGGTGAGTAACACTCAGGCAACACAAACTACCATAAATCATACCCGTCAACCCTCCAGTTAGTATCAGGATTCTCCGGTATTTTACACTTCTATCCCGCTATCATCCTGTATTTTTAATCTTTCTATGAAGGGTGGCAATAAACATTAAAGCTTCAATCCTCCCTATACACAACCCATACCGCCGAACCACCAGGGGCCGCCCCTCACTCTTAAATGCGAGTCTGTTCTGTGCTTTCGGTTTGTTTAGGCATGAAAACACTTTAAAATAAATGTAAAAACGGCGGGATTCCCTTTTCTTTCCATTCCAGGTGTCATTGCCTCTCCTATGCAATCCTCAAACCAGTCAGTTCATATAGCAGTGCGTGACTGTCAGCTGACGTGCTCCATAGTGATAAATAGACGCTGCTTCCCAAACGGATTCTGCACACGTGATTAAAGCAGAGCGAAAGTGGACACACTGGGTTTTGGGTGCGTGTTTGAACAGACATATGTACATATTATTAATAATATCTAAACATGTCGATCTTGGTGGGTTTTCTTTTAAACATAACAAATTTGATCCTAAAGGGCCTTGACATCTTCCACTTCCTCAGAATTTTTTTAAAGGGCCATGAAACCCCCTCGTTTCAGCAGGGTGTTTTCACACCTCTACTTTGGAAAAAGTCAGAAAAGTGGGCGTGTCCAGCTCTGTTTAGGGGGGAGTGTCGGAGGAACTAAAGTGGGATGGTGTGGGAGTGTCTATTTGGGCACGCGCGAGTTTCAGTCAAAATACACACACATGAGAAAGTGATGGTGTTTAACCTGCATGGACATCTGTAGTCGAATTATTTGCCAAATTATTAAATGGTGGACTTTAACTGCAGTTTGGCTCTTTCATTCAGGGAATTCATTCATGCCCCTCGCAACAAACGCGATATTGGATTCGAGGAACTGCTCTAAGCGTGTAATTTTCATGCAATGTTTGATACCGCACGGCGAATGAGAGAAAAAAACCTCCGCATTTCCCGGAAATTTAGATGCACACGGCAGGTAGCATCAGAAAGCCGCGTGTGTTATTCCGGTCACAAAATGCGATGCAATGTTTGCACTCAGTGCAATAGTTAACTTAATTCGATACGAACAAACTGAATAAACATAGAGCACTGGTCGCTCACTTACCAAATCTGTAGAGACAGGACAATCACCAGCAACTAGAGCCACGTCTTTATGGAGAGGAGACTAACGTTACAAGCGAATCAGGATCTCAGTGTTTGCAGATGAGAACAGCTCTCAGATAAACAATAATCCTCCTTAGACACGTAAGTAATTGTTGTCGAGCGTCGCGTACACTGTTAATCCACACGTGATCCAGATGAGCTCTCACAGAGAGAAAATGAAAACAAAACTTAACTGCAGCAAACTATAAAAGCAACACTTCACGCTTGTTTTGCCAACACAACGTGGCGTCTCTGTCGTCTAAACACTGTGACAGTAATGAATATTAATGAAGTTGCACAATAGAGCGCGCTGATTGGTTTGAACCAAGCTTTACTCATGCATTAATGCATCACACTGTAAGACGTAATAAGACTCACTCTGGCACAGACGTCCAGTCTGCATGCTGGAATACAGGCTATTATGTCATGACCGGGACGCAGCTTCAAAAATTCGTTTCAAACAGGAAGTACGAATTTACTTGAAATAACGCAAAAACAACCAATTTACACTTTTTAGTGAGATATAGGTGTCCTAATAGTGTTTTTAGCAGTGTGGGACACATATAAGACTGTCAACAGCTCAAAACGTGTTCTGGTGTTTCGTGACCCTTTAAAAGATGCATCATATTGGGTGTGGAGCTCCACGAGCAGAGGCAGGAGTGGGCGAGGCCAGCAGAGTAGGGGAGAAGGAGGGGAGCGAACAACTGTTGTCAGTCGGCTCACAAAATGAGACACAAACCATGAAAAGACGCATGATCTTATAGTTTACAAAGTTAAAATGCAAAGAAATAAACAGTAATTGAATACCCTGCTACATTTGTCATTTCTAATTTCATATACACATAACCACAATCTATATCATTATAAAGATAATCGTGTTTATATAAACCCTACTGTAAATGAGGACTTCTCCCTCAACCCCCGGGTCTGAATGCAGACTCAGTGCAGCAGGTCTCTTGCCCTGTCTATTTTAACCATTAGCCCTGCTGGTAATCTAAAGCAGGGGTCACCAATCCTGGTCCTGGAGGGCCGGTGTCCCTGCAGGGTTTAGTTCCAACTTGCCTCAACACACCTGCCTGGATGTTTTAAGTATGTCAAGTAAGAGCTTGATTAGCTTGTTCAGGTGTGTTTGATTAGGGTTGGAGGTAAAATCTGCAGGGCACCGGCCCTCCAGGAACAAGTTTGGTGACCACTGCTCTAAAGGATTTAGGCGAACACATCAGCACGGCGATGTGTCTGAATGTGAATGAACTCCTGATAACAGACAGCGTCCGCCATTCTCCAATTCTCGTACTGCTCTCCTGACAAAAATGCTTGATGCACACAAATAGCTTTTGCTGTATCGGCCCTGACAGCATCATGGGAAAAACATGCAACAAACACCGTGGTTCATGGAAACGAACGCATACGACCCTTCATGAACGACTAAATACTGTGAACCGTGGGTCCGCGGACGCGTTTCACCCAATCATCAACGTAGGATCTCACACTCACAGCTTGGCGCTGGCCAGACTGCTTTGCCTTCGGAAAGCACGTGCAGTCATGAATAATTAAGAAGCAGTCTCTTCTCATAGGATAAGAAAACTCTGCTATGAATATTAATGAGAATTCGACGCGTCATCTTTGCACTTGCAGTTTTGCGCTACGTCACCGTTTTTGATCCGCCCCAAAAATCATTTTAAACCCAGAAGCTGAAATTAGCTGACAAAAGCTCAAAATGATCCAGTTTCCCCCACAATTAAAGCTGACAGGTGCTAACATTGTCTTAACTGATGCTCAACACACACAAATCTGTTAACATCTCAAATAAAGTACTCGAGGGTTTCGTAAACCTTTAAATAAGCATCAACAGTTAGAGCAATCGAAAATCCTTTATTTTCACATCCCAATGTTGACAGGTATGCCATAACTACAACTATTGTTTATGGCGCAGCTGAATAATATTGGGGTTTAAAGAGCACCTATTATGCAAAATTAATTTTTGAAAGCTGTTTGGACAGGGTCTTTAAATTTCCTAACATTAAAACAGGATCGAAATCCCAGTGATTTTGCGTGGAGTTTGCATGTTCTCCCTGCCTTCGCTTGGGTTTCCTCCAGGTGCTCTGGTTTCCCCCACAATCCAAACGCATGCAGTACAGGTGAATTGGGTTGGTGTAACGGGGAGACTGACACGGAGGGATTCATTTGCAGTATTTATTAAGTCACACTTTACTCAACATACAACACGCACGACTGTGCGGACATACAACATACACAGCAATGAAGATAGGGCTGGCGGCTGACAGACACAGAGTAATTTACCAGGCATGGGTCAGAGGCAGGCAGCGTGATTCAGAGTCCGTGTAACAGGCTTGGGTCGAGGGCAGGCAGCGAGAATCAGAGTCCGTGTAACAGGCTTTGGTCGTGGGCAGGCAGAAGGCAGAGCAGAGTCAGGAAACGGGCTGAAGTAGTAAACAGGAGATCAGGCAGGATAGAACGCTCAGTAATGCTGGCCGGGGCTAAACAAGACTTCGCAAAGACTGTGCGAGTGTGAGCTGCTTATAAAGGGTACGTGGGTCATTAACGGAATGAAGATCAGGTGTGCTGGATCAGAGTGAATGGATGACGTAATGTTTAAAAGTCCGGAGATGGTGGCCTCTGCTGGCCAGCGAGGGGAATGACTGGGACCGAGTCGGTGACAGTTGGCTAACTTGTCCGTTGTGTGAGGGTGTGTGTGGATGTTTCCCAGAGATGGGTTGCGGCTGGAAGGGCATCCGCTGCGTAAAAACTTGCTGCATAAGTTGGCGGTTCATTCCGCTGTGGCGACCCCGGATTAATAAAGAGACTAAGCCGACAAGAAAATGAATGAATAGATTTTAAACTGTTATAGCTATATAGCTGTATTTATTCATTTGACTCTTTATAAATATGAATTAAACACTTTCTATTAAATACATGTAAAAATGCTGTAATAATAATGATAATAATACGATTATGAAGCCAAATTTTTTTTTATTTAAAATAGGATGCGGGAAATGTAAAAAACTATTTCATTGATTCATATTTCATCTATAAAAATGTAGATTTCAGTGCAGCACTAGTTGATTATTGTATTTTATTATTGTTGAGTGCATTGCACTACAGTATTACTATGTGTAAAAGGATTACTGAGTATTTACTCAAGCAATCCTATTATAATCTACTGAAAACGATTAGCCTCGAGTGATGGATTATTGCCTACAGCCGATTGTACCTGGAATAACACTACAGTATATGGAGCAATATTAAATATTAGGGTGAGATGATTCTTTTTAAAATGGTGTGTAATCTTATTCTATTAAACAGGGCACAGTAGATGTCTTCTCATGCTTCCTCTTGATTTTCTTCTAGCCAGTGTTTGAGTCAGTATACAGCCGATGTGTGTGTTCAGTTGTCATGCAGCTCTGTGCTAATTTAGCCTCCTTGAACACTTGGAGATGCACCTAATAATAGTGCACATTTATCTAGGTTAACATCAGCGCAGACCGACGTATAAAGCCGCCAATGTTGGTTTGAGTTTAATGCATGATATATTGCAGTTTTTGATTACTATATTATGATATGAAAAATATTAATTTATTTATTTTCATATTGATAGTTTTAACGCATCGTCACGCCCCAGCGGGCGGTCTCCTGTTGACCAACAAGTCCATGTTTTAGGCAGAAAACTGATGGTTGACATGCCTGTGATGAACTTCTGCAGATATTCCCTCATAGAACGAAAAGCCAGGGGTCCGTTCTTCACACCTCGCTTAAATGATCTAAGATGATTTGGCAGATCCCGGATCTTTTAATCTTGATAACTGATCTCTTGCTAATTTGGTTCTTCAAACAAGATCGCGAATCAGATCAGAATGTCTGGATAAACTGATCTGAGATCGCTGCGTGTGTTATGAAGGACATTTATCGATCTTCGAAATCATGATCAGCAATGCAGCGATTGGCTGACGGCACAGCAGCGTAATGACATCATCTGATTAATATTCAATTATCCATGTGAGCAAAATTCCATCAAATTAGCAGTAAACCGTTTGTTAAATATGACACGCAGTAACCTTCCACATTTGTTGTGAGCTGCAGGCTTTACACTTTCATGTGTCAAGTGTATCATCGTGTATTTCAATGCAAATCAATGTATTTAGTTCTACATTTAGAAAAGATTTTCTTTATAATAGTAGCCGTTTTTTAATCAGTGTAAAGAATAACTTGTTGTTTACAAAAGCATTTTGATATTGGTAAAGGCGTCTGCAACTTTTGTGAAGCATCAAATCACCGGCATATTAACTATCAAAACATGTTCATGACTGCATAAATGTATAATTGCTTTAAAAAAGTCACATATTCTGCATTTCTATTGTACACAATTTGTACTAAAGCGATCTAAAAAGTTCATATCAATAAGTTTTCTCTTTGCACCACCAGATGGCAGTCTTTGTACTTTCATTTCGAGGGTGCAGATTGCATACGTTTTATTAATATGTATAACTTTATTTATTTTATTAATGACTATAACTTTATATATATAGTTAAAAAATATGTACCATTTTCCCAAGTGTAAATAACTACTACTGTAAGAAAATATCAGAATTCGGTACATACTTTCTGTATTATCTTTGCTTGAACTGAGCCGATCTAATCCTGTTTATATGAATTGAACCTGCTCCTGATCAGGTTTGAGCTAGCAGAACTGTTGCTATGACAACAACTCTCGGATCAGCTTTGAAGAACGAAACGATCCTGGATCATGTCAAATCATCAATATCCAAATCCAGCTAACTGAGTAATCCACGTACGAAGAACGGACCCCAGAACAGAGAAATTTATGGATTTGTTACAAATATTAGCAGCATTGACCCATAACAATCGGTGCTTCATTTAAATGTCAGTACATTTGTGTGCTGTTTATACAGTTTCTATTCCAATTTGCAGGTTAAGTGCAAATTAGAGTCAAAGTTTAAACAGCAGAAGTGATAAAACTGATTTTTATTCATTCATTTTCTTGTCGGCTTAGTCCCTTTATTAATCTGGGGTCGCCACAGCGGAATGAACCGCCAACTTATCTAGCATATGTTCTAAGCAGTGGATACCCTTCTAGCTTTAACCCATCTCAACATCCATACACACTCATTCACACACATACACTAAGAACAATTTAGCTAATCCAATTCACCTGTGACGCATGTCTTTGGACTGTGGGGGAAACCGGAGCACCTGGAGGAAACCCACGTGAACAGAAATGAATAGCTCCTTATGTTTTAAATATAATAATAGTATTAATATATTTAATACTATTACACATGATATTAAATATATTATGTCTGTGGGTAGAAAAAAGTTATGTCTGGGAAGTCAAACAAGAGCAGTAGATAATAGACTTTATAGACCGGGCACCATAAACGGACAAATAGTAGAGCAGGTCTCAAATGTTAAGTATTTAGGCACAATTATTGACAATACACTTATTTTTTATTTTTATGT